CCCAGCAGCCTACTTTCCCCTGTTGCTGCCCACCTCCTCCCCACTAATCTGCTTTCATGGAATGCTGTCCATTATCTATTATTATTATTATTATTATTATTATTATTATTATTATTAGTATTATTTACAGCATTTATATACCACTTTTCTCACCCCGAGGGGGACTCGGGCCAGGCCAAAGCGGTTTACACATAGATAATGGCGAAAATTCAATGCCTAATCAATAGTGTCTAATCAATAGCGTGTAAAAACAAACCACCCTCCAGCAGTTAAGAGCCATTTACTTATGCTGTATGGCTCCTGTATCCGTGGGCTGACCATAGATAATGGTTAACCCTATTTAAATGAAGGACTTTTAGCCCAAGAACATCATGAAGTGACCAAATAAATGCCTAGAGATGACATATTTTGTTGCATATAGATAAATGGAAATGTGGATATGGGAATTATATTGCCTGGCTGCTCCTTCTCCTTATTATTATTTCAAAGGGAGGAGGGGAAGCTATGGTGAGGGAGGGCTGGGGGGATTAATTCATTATTCTTTTGTTTATTTTGTATTTTAAATAGATGGATTTAAATTGTATTTATTTTTAAAGGGTACAGATGTCAAAACATACTTAGGCGATCCTTCGTTATCAGAATATGATGTCCCTCCAAGTATACTGTCTTGGCGGTGGGTCCGGAAGTGACTGTAGAGCCCCATTCTTGATCTGCATGTTCTTCCACAGTGAGGGCATCAGTTTCCAGGTGGAAGGCAGTCCCGACAGTGGTTGGCTTGACGCGCATTCCTCTTGGCACATTTCTCCCTTTCTCCCTCCATTTGTGCCTCTTCAAATTCCATAGCACTGTTGATAACAGCTGACCTCCAGTTAGAACATATAAGGGCCAGGGTTTCCCAGGTCTTGGTGTCCAAGCCTCAGTTTTTTAAGCTGGCATTAAGGTCATCTTTAAATCTCTTTTCCTGCCCACCAACATTTCATTTTCCATTCTTGAGTTGGGAGTAGAGTAACTGTTTTGGAAGTCAGTGATCAGGTATTTGGACAATGTGGCCGGTCCAGCGGAGTTGATGGTGTAGGAGCAGTGCTTCAATTCTGGTGGTCTTTGCTTCTTCCAGCATGCTGACATTTGTCTGCCTGTGTTCCCAAGAGATTTGCAGGATTTTTCAATGATAATGCTGATGGAATCATTCCAGGAGTTGAATGTGATGTCTGTAGATGGTCCATGTTTTGCAGGCGTATAACAGGGTTGGGAGGACAATCTATATAAATAAAAATGTAATGTTTGTTTGTGGGATTAACATAACTCAAAAACCACTGGACGAATTGACACCAAATTTGGCCACAAGACACCTATCAGGTCAATGAGTGACCATCACTCATAAAAACACTGAAAAACAGAGAAAGGGACTTAAAAAGCCTCCAAAAGCCAAAAAGACACTAGCACATGCGCAAAAATGACTCCCCTGGCAAAAAAAAAAAAACACAATAGCATATCCACACTCTTTTCCGGACTACAGCTCCCAGAATTCCTTTAAGAGAGGAGGATGATTCAAATGCACTGCTTCCAAGATGGAAGCTTTATTCTCCTTGGATTTCTTTGAGAGCATCCCAATCCCTGCATATTTCCAATTTCCTATTCCTGGACTGCAACTCCCAGCAATCTCCCAGATTGGTAAGAGAGATTAGATAGGTAGGTAGATACACTGTTCAGAAGGACTGCTGGGAGTTGCAGTCCAAGAATAGGTACAGAAGGAAGAAAGGGGAGAACGAGGAAGGGAAAGAAAAGGGGGGAAATGAAGAGGAAGAGAAGGAAGGAGAGAAGGGGAGAAGGAAAGAAAATAAGGGAAGGAGAGAAAGAGGGAGGGAAGGTTGCCCACAGCAACGCATGGCGGGTACAGCTTGTAGTTTTATAAACAAGCATCTTGGTATCTCTGCGGATGTCCTGATCCTCAAACATTCTCTGGTTCATTTGGAAAAATGCTGCACTCGCAGAGCTTAGACCAGGTGTCCTCAAACTTTTTAAACAGAGGGCCAGGTCACAGTCCCTCCAACAGTTGGAGAGCCGGATTATAATTTGAAAAAAACATGAATGAATTCCTATGCACACGGCACATATCTTATTTGTAGTGCAAAAACACTTTAAAAATACAATAATTAAAATGAAAAACAATTTAAACAAATTTAAACTTATTAATATTTCAATGGGAAGCGTAGGCCTGTTTTTGGCTGGTGAGATAGGACTGTTGTTGTTGTTGTTGTTGTGTGCTTTCAAGTCATTTCAGACTTAGGTTGACCCTGAGTGAGGGCCAGATAAATGACCTTGGAGGGCCGTATTCAGCCCGCGGGCCTTAGTTTGAGGACCCCTGGCTTAGACGGTACATTTCAGTGTCAATGTTGATATTTTTGGAGAGGTGGCTGCCAATGTAAGGAAATGGTCAACATTTTCTAACATTACACATTAAGCTGTATTTCTAGCATTGCAGATGGATTGACTGGTGACTGCTGAAAGAACACTTTGGTTTTTTCAATGTTCAATGAGAGGCCAAGCTTTTTGTATGCTTCCACAAAGATGATTAGAGTGGCTTGTATGTCTTCTGAATGAGCATGACTTGCATTATTTATTTACCTTACTTATATACCGCTGTTCTCAGCCCGAAGGCGACTCACAGCGGTTCACAACAAATACGAACAGCAAAAATTCAGTGCTACAGTATAGAAACAGTTAACAACCTAACACATTACACAATTAATAAACAGTTACTACAATACCCATTCACTGTCGTCTCGTCATCAAAAACATGTTCCAGATTCGTCATCCATTGTTCCATTCCAGTGTTCATTAACCAATCATTGCACTAATTATTGGAACGCCTGCTCAAACAGCCAGGTCTTCACTTTTTTGCGGAATACCATTAGAGATGGTGCTAGTCTAATGTCCGTAGGAAGGGCGTTCCACAGCCGAGGAGCCACCACCGAGAAGGCCCTATCTCTCGTCCCCGCCAGCCAAGCTTGAGAAGCAGGCGGGATCGAGAGCAGGGTCTCCCCGGAAGATCTCAAAGTCCTGGTGGGTTCATAGGCAGAGATGCGGTCGGATAGGTAGCTTGGGCCGGAACCGTTTAGGGCTTTAAAGGCCAACGCCAGCACTTTGAATTCAGCCCGGTAGCAGATCGGTAGCCAGTGGAGTTGGCGCAACAGGGGGGTTGTATGCTCCCTGCGCTCCGCTCCTGTTAAAATCATGGCTGCCGAGCGTTGGACTAGTTGGAGCTTCCGAGCTGTCTTCAAAGGCAACCCCACGTAGAGAGCATTGCAGTAGTCTAAACGGGATGTAACCAGAGCGTGGACTACCGTGGCCAAGTCAGACTTCCCAAGGTACGGGCGCAGCTGGCGCACAAGCTTTAGCTGTGCAAATGCTCCCCTGGTCACCGCCAAAACCTGGGGTTCCAGGCTCAGCGATGAGTCCAGGGTCACACCCAAGCTGCGAACCTGCATCTTCAGGGGGAGTGCGGCCCCATCCAACACAGGCTGTAACCCTATGCCCTGTTCGGCCTTGCGACTGACCAGGAGTACCTCTGTCTTGTCTGGATTCAATTTCAATTTGTTCGCCCTCATCCAGACCGTCACAGCGGCCAAGCACCGGTTCAGGACCTGGACAGCCTCCTTAGTAGCAGGTGGAAAGGAGTGACAGAGTTGGACATCATCCGCGTACAGATGACACCGTACCCCGAAACTCCAGATGATCTCCCCCAGCGGCTTCATGTAGATGTTAAACAACATGGGAGACAATATTGAGCCCTGAGGAACCCCACAAGACAATGGTTGTGGGGTTGAACAGGTGTCCCCCAACAACACCTTCTTAGATCGACCCTCTAGGAATGACCGGAGCCACTGCAAAACAATACCTCCAAGACCCATCCCCGCGAGGCGTCCCAGAAGGATACCGTGGTCGACGGTATTGAAGGCCGCTGAGAGGTCCAGCAGCACCAACATATCATCAGCATATTGGAGTTCTATAACAGATGTTGTTGTGACCTTGGTTTTGGCGTTCAGTCTGCCAATGTAGAGGAAATGGTCAACATTTTATAACATTACACATTAAGCTGTATTTCTAGTATTGCAGATGGTGACTTCTGAAATAACACTTTGGTTTTTTCAATGTTCAACGAGAGGCCAAGCTTTTTGTATTCTTCTGCAATGATGTTTTAACGCTGAACTCAGGATTAACCTACTGCTGTGTTATTGTATTAATGTGTATTGATGATTTTAATTTTTAATTTGTAATTGTTTAATTTGTTTATATATGTATGTATATGTGATAAAGGCATCGAATTGTGCCTTCCTCTGTAAGCCGCCCTGAGTCCCCCCCCCGGGGGTGAGAAGGGCGGGGTAAAAGTGACGGAAATAAATAAATAAATAAATATAGAGTGGCTTGTAGGTCTTCTGAATGAGCATGACTTGCATTATCATCAGCATATCGGAGTTCTATAACAGATGTTGTTGTGACCTTGGTTTTGGCGTTCATTCTGCTTAGGTTAAATAGCTTGCCATCTGTCCAATAGATGATGTGGATCATGACGATGAAGACGGAAAACAAGGTTGGGGCAACAACACAACCCTGTTCTCATAGAACTACCAATTCCATTATAGTTAAATTGTTATCACTGTGTAGAGCTCATACATACAGCCAGAGGAATACTAAAAACAATCAATTCATGAGTATCCAGTTTGCATATTTGCATATCTATATCTTACTAATGCTGCTTGAGAATAGTAGTCAAATCTACCTCCTAGTTCATATGAACATGTCCTTATTCCAATGCAGTAACTCTCAGGCTCTGTCCCTATTGCCCACTTTTCTAAATCCATTCCTATAAACATGCTGTGAGGGGCGTGGCTCCTCCTCCAGCCTCTGCCTCTGTTGCATTCTGGTCGCTGTAGTCCTCAGCCAGCGCTAGGATGTTTCCCGAGGCATGCCGGGAGCCGTAGTTCCTCCTCCCCGCGCGATGCATGCTGGGAGCCGTAGTCCCTCCCGCCCTGCAGTGTCAGCCTGGCCGCTGCTGGGTCAGTCATGCTGCCGAGTTGGGCTCCTTGGAGATCTGTCGTCTGTAAGGTAGGAAGGTGTTTTCCATCTTGTGTTTGTCCAGATCTGGAGTGTATTTCCCAGCTTTGAGCTCATTGAGAGGAAGTGATAGGAGGTCAGGAGATGTATCCTAGTGTGAACCATTTGCTTTTAGTAAATTAACATGACTTGATGAAAAGTGGTGCTTGTGAACATGTACAGAGTGCTTCTGAGCATGTACAAAGTGCATCCCTTCTCCTTTATTGGGTTAGGAGCTTACTCAGCTCCTTATGGGAATAGTGGAGAAATGTTTCCTAGAGTGAACCATTTGCTTTTAGAAAATTAACATGACTTGATGAAAAGTGGTGCTTTTGAGCATGTACAGAGTGCTTCTGAGCATGTACAGAGTGCATTCCTTCTCCCTTGCTGGGTTGGGATCTTACTAAGCTCCTTATGGGAACAGTGGAGAGATGTTTCCTAGAGTGAACCATTTGCTTTTAGAAAATCAACATGACTTGATGAAAAGTGGTGCTTCTGAGCATGTACAGAGTGCATTCCTTCTCCCTTGCTGGGTTGGGATCTTACTTGGCTCTTTATGGAAACAGTGGAGAGATGTTTCCTAGAGCAAGCCATTTGCTTTTAGAAAATTAACATGATGTGATGAAAAGTGGTGCTTTTGAGCATGTACAGAATGCTTCTGAGCATGTACAGAGTGCATCCCTTCTGCTTAGCTGCGTTAGGAGCATACTCAGCTCCTTATGGGAACAGTGGAGAGATGTTTCCTAGAGTGAACCATTTGCTTTTAGAAAATTAACATGACTTGATGAAAAGTGGTGCTTTTGAGCATGTACAGAGTGCTTCTGAGCATGTACAGAGTGCATTCCTTCTCCCTTGCTGGGTTGGGATCTTACTTAGCTCTTTATGGAAACAGTGGAGAGATGTTTCCTAGAGTGAACCATTTGCTTTTAGAAAATTAACACGTCTTGATGAAAAGTGGTGCTTCTGAGCATGTACAGAGTGCTTCTGACCATGCACAGAGTGCACCCTTTCTCCTTTGCTGGGTTAGGAGCTCAGCTCCTTATGGAAACTGGAGGGATGTTTCCTACAGCGAGCCATTTGCTTTTAGAAATGTGACATGCTTTTCATGACTTGATGAAAAGTGGTGCTTCTGAGCATGTACAGAGTGCATTCCTTCTCCTTTTCACTTAGCCCAGTCCATCCCTATGGATGAGATGCTTCCTAAAGGCCTCCATTGGCTTTTAGAAAGTTTCAAAATTATATTTATGACTTCCCTCTCTCTAAACAAGGCATTGGCAAACTTGGGCCCTCCAGGTGTTTTGGACTTCAACTCCCACAATTCCTAACAGCCGGTAGGCTGTTAGGAATTGTGGGAGTTGAAGTCCAAAACACCTGGAGGGCCCAAGTTTGCCCAAGCCCACTCTAAATAAATCAATGGTCTTTCATTTCTTAGCCTTTTCACATTTCATATTTTCAATAACAACAGCGAAATGAATGTTATCCGGTCGTATTTGGGATTTTAGATAATAGGTAGGGAAACGATTTGCAAATTGTAAACAATCTCCTCCTGTAGGATTATTAAAGCAAACAAACTAGAGTCCGGATCTCGAAATGTAAGTGTCCTCTCTTTAAGATTGCGCATAAATGGAAATTATAATAACACGTTTAAGTGAGTTGCTGTGAGTAAAAAAACATGTCTAAGGTTTTTAAAGCACAGTTCCAAGCATTTCCCTTATCCGAAACGCTTGGAACTTGACATATTTTGTATTTTGGAATAGCTCTAGTTTGAATATACATAAATAATGTGATATCTCAATGAGATGGGGCCCAAGTCCAAACATGATATTCATTTGTGTTTCATATACAAATACCCTAAAGTTAATTTTACACACACTATTTGTATTTTAATAACTTGAATCTGAAACAAAGTTTGTGTAGATAAAAACCATTGGAAAGCAAAGGTTTCACTGTCTTATCCAGTCATGTGGACAGTTCTGGATTATTTCAGATTTCTAAATTCTAATTAAGGGATTTTTCAGACTGGATCTACACTGCTATATAGAATCCAGATTATCTGCTTTGAACTGGATTGTATGAGTCTATAACCCAGTTCAAAGTAGATAGTCTAGATTTTATATGCCAGAGTAGAAGGGGCCTTGCACATAGCTATATAAAATCCACATTGAACTGGATTATATGGCGGTGTAGACTCAGGGCCCTTCCACACAGCCTTATATCCCTAAATATCAAGGCAAAAATCCCACAATATCTGCTTTGAGCAGGGTTTTCTGAGTCCATACTCAGATAATGTCTGCCTTGATATTCTGGGATATATGGCTGTGTGGAAATGCCCGAAGAAGTTGTATTCCAGATTTTATTGTCTCTCAGCTTCTATGACCAGAAGTGATCATAGATGGCGACCCTAGCCGCAATATCCCCATTGCCATTTTAGGCCACGTCTACACTGCCATATAATCCAGTTTTTGAATCCAGATTATCTGCTTTGAGCTAGGTTAGATGAGTCTACTAGATCCAGTCTTAATATACTGTGACAACTACGATTTGCCATTTTTCATTTCTGAAGTCCACAAAAACTTTCCTGGTCTTTTAAGGCCCCTTGTACACAGTCATATAATTCATATTATCAAAGCAGATCATTCACATGATCTTCTTTGAACTGAACTATCTGAGTCTACATTGTAATATAATCCAGTTCAAAACAGATACCAGTAATCTGAATTTTATATGGAAGTGTAGAAAGGGCCTAATTCCTGAGGATCTTTATTTCAGCTACAAATGTGATTTGATAAGATTGTTTTTGTTAAAAAAATATCTACTTATCTATCTCAATTTCTTGCTATCCTTGTTTGCTAGAGCATTAACATATATAGGCCCTCCACTTTTGTGGTCGTTCGAGGCACAAGACACTAGGAAAACTGGAAAACTTGAGATTTTTTTTAAAAAACACTATTTAACCTGAGAGATCACTTTTGTAAGGGCCCTTCCACACAGCCCTATATCCCAGAATATCAAGACAGAAAATCCTACAATATCTGAGTGTGGACTCAGATAAGATAATTCAAAGCAGATATTATGGAATTTTCTGCCATATTCTGGGATATAGGGCTGTGTGGAAGGGCCCTAAGAATCTCTAGATCTTCCCGCATATCTCTGTGTTCAGTTTCCACAAGAGACCATATTAAAGCTGAGAATTATCATAGTCACAAAAGTTGAACCAGCAAATACATAATCTGTGTGCTCTAATTGTGTAGTGTTTTTTTTTTTATTCTGTGGGTTATCTCATACAAAAATACTCCACCGCAAAAGTCTGTGTGGAATGATAGGGATCCAGAGAAAGAATTGACATTTTGGGGCTGCCTCTACACTGTAGAATGAATGCAGTTTGTCACCACTTGAATTGCCATGACTATGAACTCCAGGGGGTTGTATTTTTGGCGAAGTACCAGCTGTCTTTGGCAGAGCAGGCTGAAGTATTTGTAAAACTACAGCTCCCATGATTCCATAGCATTGAGCCATGGTAGTTCAAGTAGTGTCAAACTGCATTAATTCTACAGTGTAGATACACCCATGATCTACTTAGGGCTTTCATATTGATAGTGACGGACGTTGAGTTGAAGTCTCTCTTGCTGTTTGGCTAGCCTTCCCCAATATATAGGTTTCCCGGACTGAAAACTGGAGAGGTCGCCTGGATCTTTTAAACGGTTAGATAGAAGATGGAAATTGTGTCTTACCTAAACGCGTGACAAGCAACATCAGCTGAAATTCTCCTATTCAACGCAACCATTGAAGGTACAGGAACCCTCTCCAGCTTTCAATCTGGCAATCCTGCTTAATGGAGTACGGTGGGATAAGTAGAACAGCGCTTGGCTGCTTGCCACTGGCTCAGCTGCTCTGACCTTAAGGAGAGTATCATGGTTTGAAGAGAAGGGAGGAGATTTAAGAAGGCAGTGGATCAAGAGAAGTGTAAGAAAGGAGTGTTGATATTAACCTTTGGGAAATGAGGGGCAGTGAAAGTTAAAGGAAGGGGTCAGAGAAGCCAAGGAGAAGTCTGGGACCGATTTGGCCTAAAGAGGGTTCAGAAGGAGGGTTAACAATTGAGGGAGCCCAAAGAGGTTATGTTTTTGGACTACAACACCCAAGTTTTTTCAGAATTATTGCTGTGCTCGCTGAGTATTTATTATTATTATTATTATTATTTTATCAAATTTTCACAATATATAGTTGGCCCAGTATATTATTGGCCTTCCACATTTGCTGATTTTCCTTTTGTGGATTTGATTATTCATGGATTTGATTAATATGTCTTCTCTGGGAATTTCAAGGTCCACCAATGTGATTCTGTGGTCCACTTCCAACAGAAGTTGATTGTAGAGTTGTGCTAGAGGACCTCGCGATTCTAAGAGAGATGGGTTGTTGTAGGTTTTTTTCGGGCTATATGGCCATGTTTTAGAGGCATTCTCCCCTGACGTTTCGCCTGCATCTATGACAAGCATCTTCAGATACAGGCGAAACGTCAGGAGAGAATGCCTCTAGAACATGGCCATATAGCCTGAAAAAACCTACAATAACCCAGTGATTCCGGCCATGAAAGCCTTCGACAATACATTAAACATCTAAGAGAGGTGTTCTCTAGGGGTAAACAAAACCTTGTTTTTTATTAATAGTTTTCTTACTTTTGCAATGAACCTGAGACCCTAACAGCAGAAATGGAAATCTGAAATACCAAAATGGTTAAATAGGATATGAGACATAGCTTTATAGGGAATCTGGGTATTGTAGTCCAAAACTGTAATGTTCAACCAGGGTCCAGAAGGGAGGCCGCTAATGGAGTTGTATTGATTTATCTGGCTTTCCTCCTCATCTGCATGATTCTTTTTACTGGCTTTACTCTCCAGGGTTGATCTCTTGAGTTGAGGCCTTTCAGGCTTGCATGGATGGGATGTCTGGGAATTCGGCCCCAAATGGAGCATCTGGGATTTATCATGAGCGGCAACGCCTTGAGCTGTGTGCGGTCCATGCCCTGAACAATGTCTTACAGGAGCGGATTTTCACCCAAGAGGCAGCTGATGAGATCTGTAAAAGGTAAATGGGTGTGCATTTCCGCATATATTGCCAGAACTTAAAGGAAATGTTCTTTTCATATAAGGTCCTCTTGTAAACACCTTCAAATTATTCTGTGAGTTATCTGTTATGAAAATAATAATGTTACAAGGTCCCCCATGACCTTCTGGCAAACAAACTAGTCCAATGTAGGCTAGACAAAACTACGGTGAGGTGGATCTGTAATTGGTTAAATGGATGAACCCAGAGGGTGCTCCCCAATGCTTCCTCTTCATCCTGGAAGTGACAAGTGGAGTGCCGCAGGGTTCCATCCTGGACCCGGTCCTGCTCAGGATCTTTATTAATGACTTAGATGAAGGTTTAGAAGCCATGATCATCAAGTTTGAAGACGACACCAAATTGGGAGGGCTAGCCAATACTCCAGAGGACAGGAGCAGAATTCAAAATGATCTTGACAGATTAGAGAGATGGGCCAAAACTAACAACATAAAGTTCAACAGTGACAAATGCAAGATACTCCACATAGGCAGAAAAAACGAAATGCAAAGATACAGAATGGGGGACAATGCCTGGCTCGAGAGCAGTATGTGTGAAAAAGATCTTGGAGTCCACGTGGACAGCAAGTTAAACATGAGCCAACAATGTGATGTGGCGGCAAAAAAAGCCAATGGGATTTTGGCCTGCATCAATAGGAGCATAGAGGGGAAGTAATGCTACCCCTCTATTCTGCTTTGGTTAGACCACACCTGGAATATTGTGTCCAATTCTGGGCACCGCAATTCAAGAGAGATATTGACAAACAGGAATGTGTCCAGAGGAGGGCGACTAAAATGATCAAGGGTCTGGAGAACAAGCCCTATGAGGAGCGGCTTAAGGAGCTGGGCATGTTTAGCCTGAAGAAGAGAAGGTTGAGAGGAGATATGATAGCCATGTATAAATATGTGAGAGGAAGTCACAGGGAGGAGGGAGCAAGCTTGTTTTCTGCTTCCCTGGAGACTAGAATACGGAACAATGGCTTCAAACTACAAGAAAGGAGATTCCATCTGAACTTCCTAACTGTGAGAGCCGTTCAGCAGTGGAACTCTCTGCCCTGGAGTGTGGTGGAGGCTCCTTCTTTGGAAGCTTTTAAACTGAGGCTGGATGGCCATCTGTCAAGGGTGCTTTGAATGCAATATTCCTGCTTCTTGGCCGAGGGTTGGACTGGATGGCCCATGAGGTCTCTTCCAACTCTAGGATTCTTTGATTCTATTTCAGCCTCCTAAATGGCAGAAGATCCCTTAAGTGGTTCTCAACCTGTGGGTCCCCAGATGTTTTGGCCTTCAACTCCCAGAAATCCTAACAGCTGGTAAACTGGCTGGAATTTGTGTGTGTTGTAGGGCAGAACACCTGGGGACCCTCAGGTTGAGAACCACTGCCTTAAACAAATCCCTGGCCAACATCTACTTTGATTTCAAAGAAAAATTAAGGCGCAGTGAGGTCTCTATTTTCATTAGGTGTGAAAAATAGAGAATAAAACCCATTAATTTTTTAATATGTTCAGAATAGTTGTGTAGCCAACTTTTTCAGGAAATTGACCTTGGGACTACATCTTCAACATGACTTTACGGTCAACTTCTAGCAGAGGATTTACTGATTCCTACAAAGAACATATTAATCAAATCTGCAAACATTAAAACCATAAATGTGGAGAAATTATTGTATGTCAAACTTTTATTAAATCTAAACCTTCAGTCTTATTCCATTTAAACCTTATACTATGACACGAGTGAAAAATCTATTGTTTTGCACTTGTTTTGGAGTTTATCTCAGAGAACCAGCGTGGCCAGTGGCCAGGGATTCTGAGATTCATAGTCCAAAACATTTGGAGAGTCAAAGATGCCTCAGCATTTCTCTTTGGTGAGAAACACGGAATCCCAGTTTTAATTATGTGGCAACGCTTCACGCCAATGAGTTGTTCCTTTTGTATACACCTACTTACTCACTTGACCATAATTTGAACCTCAGTGTTTGGGAGCTTGGCTTTGGCAACGAAGTGTTTTGAACAGTCAGATTGGATGAGGCCTATTAAGATGAGTTGGCATCCGGTTGCAGCTTCTCTCAAGTCTGTGTGTATGTAAGCATAAGATGTGAAAGGTCAAAAAAAGATGGAGCATGGCATGTTTTCATCTGTAAAAGGATCCGCGGTGGCGCAATGGATTAAACCCTTGTGCCGGCTGAACTGCTGACCTGAAGATCTGAAGGTTGGTGGTTTGAATCCGCAAGATGGGGTGAGCTCCCATCTGTCAGCCCCAGATTCCCATGCAGGGACATTACATAAGCTTCCCACAGGATGGTAATACATCCGGGCGTCCCCTATTGATGGCTGATTCTCTCACACCAGAAGTGACTTGCAGTATATTCTCAATTCACTTCTAGCACGATGAAAAACAAAATCTGTAAAAAAAACCCTCTACTTTGAATTTCCAGGAAAACAAATAATCGCCAGTTTTAACTGGTTGTTCCGTATCCGAATTATTCATATCAGAAGTAAGGCATTCAGTTAGAAAGAGGAAAGATGTTAAAATATGCAAAGTTCAGAGTGGGTCTGAGATAAATATGTATAAGACAGAATTCCCCCCTCCCAAAAAAAATGACAATCATGAGGACTAGAAACCTGGTTCTGTTTGAAACTGTGCACATGTTGAATATTTTTCTATAGGAAAGTATCACTGCTGGAACCAAATGTTCACCTCTCTTCTGCCCCCTCTCAAGGTGTCAATGCAAACAGTTAGGAGTCCCTACTATAGGATAGATACATGGTTTTTTGGGACACCCCCCTTCCAGTCTTTTCAGCTGATCATCTTTAAAAGCTGTAGAGCAAAGAAATATCACACTTACTTGGCCTGTATTCCGTATTCACCACTTTCTCTTAAAGAGGCGCCTTCCCCTTGGGTAGTGTGGAGCTAATGGGATTTTGCCAGGGGCAAGGAATTGTTATTGCATGCCTTTTGTTTGATGGGTGAGGCTACCTATGCTTTTAATGAGTGGAGCCTAGCAACTCCAGGGGTGTTTTGCATGAGACGCTAGGACATAATTTCATTTGAGACCATTGGTCATCACGACACTTTAATTAGCACAATCCAGATAATATCGTGCGCTCTGTAACCACTTCGGTGGAACAGGTCGAAGCTACTCAGGTAGGCCTCTGAAATAGTGCTGCTTCGGCAATATGGCTCTGCTGATTTATTGTTCATTTATACAGTGTTGTTCTGGGGCAAGTAGGAGCCTGTAAGCTTCCCTGGGGTACGGTATTTCTCTGGAAAAGCCAAGATGACAGTTGCATAAAAGAAGGAGACATCTTTTATTCTCAATGTCTTTTCCAGGCTAACTCTTCAGGGATAAGTTTTTACCAGCTTGAATAAACACAGAAATAAAACAAATTATGTGGAATGCATGTTTAAAACGCACATAACTTTATTCTGGACGGGCTTAAGATAACCTTAGCCAGCAAGAGGAATAGAATAATAGTAATGTATTAACATTCATTGACACATTGCATTAGAGCAGTGTGGGAAAGATACGTCTTCGGCTTGACAGCTCTTGAAAGCAGAAGTGAAGGAACTGCAGACCCTCAGATGTCAAATTGCAATTCTCATTATCCCTTACAATTAACTGAGCTGACTGGGTGTAGTAGAATCATAGCGTTGGAAAAGACCACAAGGGCTATCTAGTCCAACCCTCTGCTATGTAGAAATACACAATCAAAGCATTCCTAACAGATAACCATCCAACTCTGTTTAAAAACATCCACTGAAAGAGACTCCACTACACTCCAATGTGGTGGAGTGTAGTGCATTCTACTATCCAGTAGCACTTACTGTCAAGAAGTTCTTCCTAATTTTTAAGGCAGTGGTTCCACGGAGCACCAGTGGGTCGCAAGAACTAAAATATGGTCCATAGCCTCGCCGTTACTATACCTTTGCAACAAGAGTGACTGGTCTTGCAAAACCCTCTTATAGTAAAAAAGGTAAAGGTTTTCCCCGTCATTAAGTTCAGTCATGTCCAACTCTGGGGGTTGGTGCTCATCTTCATTTCTAAGTCAAAGAGCCAGCATTGCCCATAGACATTTCCAAGGTCATGTGGCCAGCATGACTGCATGGAGCGCCGTTACCTTCCCGCCAGAGTGGTACCTATTGATCCCCTCACATTTGCATGTTTTCGAACTGCTAGGTTGGCAGAAGCTGGGGCTAACAGTGGGGGCTCACACCGCTCCCTGGATTCGAACCTGTGACCTTTCAGTCAGCAAGTTCAGAAGCTCAGCGCTTTAACCCACTGCACCACCGGGGTCTCCTCTTATAGTGCCAAGGCTTATTAAATATGGTTTTCTGTGGGCAAGCAGGTGGTGACTATTGGATGGCATATGTTATGTATCAGAAATTAGAGCTGATGTAGTCTATCCAATGTAATTTTCTGCAGCAGCACGCCAAATAACCAAACTGAATCTAAAGTTGACCAAAAACTGATTTGCAACCCTTTCGGTACTAAAGTTGGAGAGTGGTCCCCGGTCAAAGTGGTCCCTGGTCAAAAAAAGTTTGGGAACCACTCTATTTTCTTGTGGTTTGGACCTGTTGTGCCATGTCATGAGAACGAGAGCATGAAGTATTCCACACTCACAGTAACAAAATAATAAGGGAAGCAGCAGATGAAGATCGAAATGATTGACAGCGGTGGAAGATTGCTTATTGAATTCTAGCATAAGTACTTGAGTTCAGAATGCAGCGTGGGATGGGGACTAAGGACAGAGGTGAGAAGCATCCAGCCTTTGATATGCTGATGAACTGATACTCATCATGCCTTATTGTAGGCAATTGTATGCCGAAGTAGATGAGAATTGAAGTTTTACATCATCTCAATGGCAGTACATTCCACAGCCCTGGACTAAGGAGTGGTACCAGACTTTGATGAAAAGGTCAGGACTCAGCTGTAAGGACGTAACTATGGTAGCATAATACAAGTGAAGAAAGAAAGGACAGGTGGTGGAAAGAGGAAGGCTGTCAGTGTTCTTGGGCTGGTCTATCCCTGAGAAGCTTCTTGGGTTGGTCTCTCCCCGATTAGTCAGCCATTTCGCCAGTGTTGCAAGGAATTTCATAACATGGAACACTTCTAATTGACTTCTCATGTGTTCCCTTTTCCTCCAAGTCCCTTTTTTCCTTTTGTTATCATCTCTTTTTTTAGGTTATATGCCTAAATGCAGAGGCTGCCTTATTTTTTATTTTATTTTTTTGCTTTTGCAAATAAATAAAATGGAGGGAACAGGAGATTTACTTTGAGACCAACTGTTTCCCTGCACCATATTCTTTCATCTGTGTCCAGCCGTGATGAGCCCCTTCTTTGCTTCCCAACAGGCTTGCCCCAGATGCCAGGTGGAATCCACATCGCAGTTTCCTGGGGACAGGGAATTACGATGTCAATGTCATCATGGCAGCGCTCCAAAGTGTTGGGCTGGAAGCTGTCTGGTGGGACAAGCGCAGGTGAGTGGTGAATCGCCGGCTTAAAGTATTCTGCTTACTTCCAGGTCATCGGGTACCTTGTAAACTCCAGCTAATTGGCTGTTCCTTGGGGGGGAAAGTGACTTGACAAGCTTTAGCTGTTTTTCTTTCTAGTGACCTCTTCCTCTACTTAGGACTGCACCTGTTGTGGCCCATGGGTTGCATGTGCCCCATGAAACCTACTTTTATAACCTCTGAAGCTTTACTCTAAGTCTTTCAAATGATGTAGTTTTTAGACAACAATATCCCCACCTTGTCACCATAAGAGGCCCAGAATCATTTATTTATTTATTATTTACAGTATTTCTATCCCGCCTTTCTCAGCCTGAAGGCAACTCAAGGCGGCATACAGATTGGCAGCAATATGATGCCACCAACAGTATATGTTACAGTATATGATTTTGTAAGTCTTGACAAGAATCATCTCTTGCTTATATGTGTGTGTTGAGGAAGAACCACTCCCTGATTAGGATGTATATCAGGTGAGGTTTTCTTGATGCAGGTAGTGGGTGAAATGAAGTAATTAGAGATGGAACTATGCTACAAGGTTTGCTGGAAAGAAGCAGATTAATGCATTATTTTGTAAGTGTTTTTTTCCTTCTGCAATGGACAATGTGGACAATGTGTTTTCAAGGCTACTGTATTTTTTCTTTATAAAATACATGTGCTGACTACTCAAGAGTAAAGACATTTTTCTTTTATACTCTGTGTACTTCAACTTGGGGCCTGGAGCTGGGAAGACTGCTGTGTATTTTCAATATAAACTAACAAACCGCAACAGGTTATGGGCCCAGTCTGCCCAGCTTGCCCAGTTTGCCCAGTCTGACCAGATTGCCCAGTTGGATATTTTTTCTCTCCAGTTCCAGTTTTGAAGACATTTTTGGTTTTGCATTGTGTTTTTGTTGGCAAAACAAGAAGATGGATACTGGAATGAATTTTGCTTTCCCTATGGCCAGGTTAAATGGCAATAACTATTCCATTTGGAAAGTCAGAATGGAAAGTTATTTGAGGAGAGAATCCTTGTGGGAATGTACAGAGAACCCAGTGCAGCAGCCAGCTACAGCAGAGCAGCTGAGAGCTCTGGAAAGAGCAAGGTCTACTCTGATGTTAGGAGTTGATGATGACCAATTGGTTCATATAAGCAGTCTGCCAACTCCCAACGCAATTTGGGTGAGACTCAGAGAAGTACATGCTTCCAGTTCGGCAGCAACAGTGGCTGTACTGGCAAGACGTCTTTACAGGAAGAGATTGGAGAAGAATGAAAGTCTGAAAGACCATTTGCAGATATTGCAGAGTTTGTTTTTGCAATTGGAGGAGAGAGATTTCCATCTCACAGAGCCAAACAAATGTTTCATTGTCCTGTCATCCTTGGATGATTCGTTTGACGGATAGTAAATTCCTTGGAATCAATCCCACAAGCACAATTAAACCTCCAATATATTTGTGCTAGACTTCTTGCTGATTGTGAAAGGCGAAGAGATCGTTGCCTGGAGACTGCAAACACAGCAGGGCGTTCTCAAGGAAAGCAGTCAGCCGGAGTTGCACTCGAGGAGGAGACAGAGAAAATTTGTGTGGTGAGAAGGTGCTTCAATTGTGGGTCTCCAAAACATTTAAAGAGGAATTGTCCAAAACAGCAGCAGAAGAAGCAAGGATGGAAGAAGGTGAACCAGAGGAGGAGTTCCTCGCATGTCAGCATTGTGAAGTCCCAAGGGAGTCCAACAGATGAAGACATATTTTATGTGGACTCTGGATGTTCACAGCATATAGTGAACAACAAAAGTTTGATTTGTAACCCTGTGAATCCTAAATGTTCAAATGTTACCCTTGCAGATGGAAAACAGTACAAAGTACAGGGACAAGGGGAAGTTTATGTTAAGCATTTGGGTAAAACATTAAGGAATGTGTTTTTAGTTCCAGAGATTGAGTACAATTTATTATCAGTCGGAAAACTGGATAAAGAAGGTTATGAAGTTAATTTTTCTGGAGGAAAAGTCAGAATTTTGAAAGGGAATAAGTTATGTGGAACTGGTGTATTACAAGGGGATTTGTATGTGTTGACCTCAGGAGGTAACACAAGTGATGTAAATGTAGTAAGTAAGAATGCTCCATTACACCAGGGATGCATTCATGATTTACATAGAACATTAGGTCACCCAAGTTTCAAAGTGTTGTATAAAATGCCAGAGTTTAGTGAAGGCATAAAATTAAAAAATTGCACGAAGTTTCTAGATTGCAATGTATGTAAGAAAACTAAAGCACAGTCAGCCCCAATTAGTAAGAAAAGTTTAAGAAACTCAGAAGAAAAGTTTCAGTTAGTACATGCTGATTTAATCGGACCGTTTCAACCGAGTAAGGGTGGAGCCTTGTTATATACTGTGTATATTAGATGACTATTCTTGTTTTTCTTGGTGTTTTTTGTTGAAACAAAAGAGTGAAGTTTTTGAGATTATTAAGAATTGGGTGGCATATGTGAAGAGACAATTTGGAGTAGGAGTAAAGGCTCTCCAAACTGACAGAGGAGGAGAGTTTACCTCACATAGTTTAGAAAATTTTCTGAAAAAAGAGGGGATAAAGCACAGACTCACATGTGCTTATCAAAGTGCAGAAAATGGAAAGATAGAAAGACTAGTAAGAAAAGTTCAAACAGTGAAAGATTCTTTGTTAGAAGATTCTGGATTATCCCAAAATCTATGGGGAGAAGCAGTAATGACTGCATGTTATTTAATTAATAGACTCTGGTGTGAGCCTATTCAGAACACTCCTTATTTTATGTTATATGGCAAGAAGCCTCCGTTAGGGCATTTAAGGAATTTTGGGACACAGGCATGGGTGTTCATACCCAAACCATTGAGAAGGAAAGGACAAGATAAATCCAGGAGATTAACAATGGTTGGCTATGCACAGGGAGCCAAAGCTTGGTGGTTTTTAGATAATGAAGGAAACATTGTTATATCAAGATCTGCTAACTTTGCCTGTAGCCAGAATTGGGATAAGATTCATGCTAATCAGGAAGTTTTCTTTCCTATTTCAAAAGAGGAAACTCATGAGCAAGGTAGACAAAACACAAAGCAAGAAAGTGCTACTACACCTCAACTCATAAGTAAGCCTATAATTAGAAAATTTAAGAGGCCTAGGCCCTCAGATGAGGATGATGAGGTGAATGAAGATCCTGAAGAGGGAACTAGTCAGGAAATTTTACTCAGAAGAAGTGAGAGAACCAGAAAGAAACCTGACAGGTTCACAATACAAAATGTAAGAGTATGTTTAATACCGATTAAAAACATTTAACATAGCATAATAAAAATCCATATAAAACCATTAAAACTATAATCATCAATGTCTTCCAAATAAACTTGTTTTCTATTAGCATTGTTTAAGCCGTTCCATGTTCGCTGTGTTTATCTGTTACACTGCATTTCTGAAAGCTTGTTCGAAGAGCCACATCTTTATTTATTTATTTTTTTGGAAAATCGGGAGGAAGGGGCCAACCTAATGTCCCTAGGAAGGGAGTTCCATAGCCGAGGGGCCACCACTGAGAAGGCCCTTTCTCTCTTCTCCGCCAAACACTCCTGTGAGGAAGGCAGGATCAAGAGCAGGGCCTCCCAGATGATCTTAAGTTCCTAGATGGTTCATATGGAGAGATAACCTCTATTTTCCTCTACAGTCTCTCTCAAAATGGTGGCAAGAAGGGATGTAATGCCACTTGGATTGCGAGAGACTACAGAAATAAAGAGAAGTACTTTCTGGGACTACTGTGTGTGTATGGAGGTGGTTCACAGGGATGTTTGTAGCGAGTGGGTTCCATGCAGTTGCCCATCTCTGTTATATCTCTTGCTAGTCAGTCACATTTATGTCTTGCCTTTCCTCAAGTGATCTCAAGACAGTATATATCTTTCTTCATGCTTGATTCTCATAGCAACCTTGTGTGGTAGGTTAGGCTGAGAGAAAAACACTTAACTGGCCCATCGTCACACAGTGTGTCTCATGGGCCAATGAAGACTAGAACATATACCTTCCAGTTTAACACAACACATCACATGACCTTCACTCATTTCTTATGTTTTGTATCCAGGGATGAGGACATTCTGGCCTTACAGGTGTTTAGAGACTTCCACTTTACAGGGCACACTTGTTCAGATTGTGCGATGCTTCAGTTGTTCTCAACCTGTGGGTCCCCAGGTGTTTTGGCCTACAACTCCCAGAAATCCCAGCCAGTTTACCAGCTGTTGGGAGTTGAAGGCCAAAAACATCTGGGGACCCCAGGTTGAGAACCACTGCTCCAGGTCGTTTGAAATGCCACAGGCTGGAGAAGGATCAACTAGGCTAAACTTAGTGATGACATCATATTCAGAATCTGCAACAGTACATATAATCTAGTAGTGTTGACAGCAACTGGCAGCAGCTCCCCAGGTTTGGTAGACAAAACCTACTTTGATGTGGAGATGCCAGGGGTAAAGCTTGGGACCTTCAGCAATGCATGGCAAGAATATGCTCTGCCATTAAGCATCTATAGATTGGTTTTTTAGGATGTTTGAAGAGTTTCCCTTCAGAGACACGTTTCTTGCCAAACACTCATGTGTTTCTTTGCTTTATAGGCCCTTAGAGCAGCTGTCCGTAGCAGGAGTTCTAGGATTCATCATCAACGTCCCTTCCAACGTGTGCCTCGGCTTCCTATCTCTTCCGGTGAGGCGTCGTCACTGGATCGCTGTGCGTCAGCTTGATGGCATCTATTATAATCTCGATTCCAAGCTGAAGGCACCTGTTCCAATTGGCAGCGAAGCTGACCTCAGGTACTGATGGAGTGGCTGCTTTAGGGACCTCTGTGAAAAGCAAGGATGTGCAAAATGTAGTTTGTACCCTGTCTGTGGCCTCGTAGGTGGTTTTTGTGCCCCCCAAAGGGTAAACAAGTTGTGTTGTCAAAGGCTTTCATGGCCGGAATCACTGAGTTGCTGTGAGTTTTCCGGGCTGTATAACCATGTTCCAGAAGCATTCTCTCCCGACATTTTGCCCACTTCTATGGCAGGCATCCTCAGAGGTTGTGAGGCTTCTTGGAAACAAAGCAAGTAGGGTTTATATATCTGTGGAATAATCTCCAGCGTGGGAGAAAGAACTCTTCTCTGTTTGAGACAAGTGTGAATGCTGCAATTGATCACCTTGATTAGCATTGAATAAACTTGCAGCTTCAAGGCTTGGCTGCTTCTTGCCTGGGATAATCCTTATTGTTAAGCATTTTATTTGATGTTATTGTTTGTTTTGTATTCATTTTATTTTGCATTATTGTAATTACTTGGGCTTGGCCTCATGTTAGAAATAGTGGCGGGGTATAAATAAATTATTATTATTATTACTATTATTATTAAAGCCTTTGTTGGGAGATGATTAGCTGGCCCTGATTGTTTCTTGTCTGGAATTCCCCTGTTTTCGAGTGCTGTTCTTTCATTACCGTCCTGATTTTAGAGTATTTTGATAGCATCAATTTAATTTTTAAATAATATAATTGATGCATTTTGTTATCACATTGGCATTTTTTTTTATCGTGTCAGGAGCGACTTGAGAAACTGCAAGTTGCTTCTGGTGTGAGAGAATTTGCCATCTGCAAGGACATTGCCCAGGGAATGCCCAGATGATTTGATGTTTTTATCATCCTTGTGGGAGGCTTCTCTCATGTCCCCGCATGAGGAGCTGGAGCTGATAGAGGGAGCTCATCCGCTTCTCCCCGGATTTGAACCTGCAATCTGTTGGTCTTCAGTCCTGCCGGCAAAGGGGTTTAACCCACTGCGCCACCAATAGACAGAGACCAGCTAATGCATCCTAACGAAGGATTCCTCCAAGCAAGAAACTGCCAGGCTTTGAAGCTGCAAGGCTATTCAATGCTAATCAAGGTGATCAATTGCAACATTCACACTTACCTCCAACAGACAATAGTTCTTTCTCCTACTCTTGACATTCCACAGATATATAACCCTCACTTGCCTTGTTTCCAACAAACCTCACAACCTCTGAGGATGCCTGCCATAGATGTGGGCGAAACATCAGGCGGCAATGCTTTTGGAACATGGCCATACAACCCAGAAAATTCACAGCAACCCGGTTAAAAAAAGATATTTGTAAAACGTTTCCTCCAAAATGTCCTCCAGGGCACATGGGGATTTTAGTACCACATTATACCCCCCTGATCCATGTTAGAACCAGGAGATACCTTTCTTGAAACAGGAATTGAGTCATTATTAAAGGCCTCTCTTGTCTCTAAAATAACACAGGAAGGTATTAAAGCATGGTAAAAATATCCCCATATCCTGTTAGAGAACTTTTGCAGCCAAAAAAAGATTGATTTATTTTATGGGACCAGGTGTGGTGAATGGGTGCGGCCTTCCAGTGTCACCTGGGGCAGCCAACTCATAGCCTACCACAGTTGCCCAACCTTGATGTCACTCATTCCAAGAATTATTCCATTATTAAACATTGCTTTGTCTTATTTTTACAAAGCCGGTGCCAGACAGCTTTCATAAAAGTCTGTCATCCAGTGAATAAGCGACACTGCATAGAACTGCAAGAGCATCCCATAACATTAAATAGAATGTTAGTCATGGAGGCAAATGTTATGAAAATAACAAGGACAAATAAAAGCCTTATGGAACAGCCATACTTCTGCTACATGTCTAACTGTACATTTCTGTGCAAGCTTACTCAGAAGTTAGTCTTATTGTGTGCAGTGCCGTTTATTCTTAGGCAAGTATATATAGAATTGCATCCTAGAAAATAAATATGTAACTGGGTAGGTGCTGCTACCAAAAATGTTGTATTCTTGTTGGTTGCCAGTTGTGTCTTGTTCATCACTGAGTAACCAGAACAAGACTTCAGATGTTCAGTGGAGCATGTCCTGAAGAACATATGAAGGAAAGTGCTCTTTAAGATACACCGGTCTGAAAATAGTGCCAGAGGCAAATAAGTTCACTCTAACCTAGAACGTGAAGTCTGCTTTGGGAAAAGGTCAGTTTTGCTTCTGCCGTGATGTATATTCAAGATTGCACAGTACCCTTTGTAAGAAGGCACATGTCTCTTGCTGTCTACAAATGGATGGTGATTTTCTAAAGAGATGCCTCTCCAACCTGATTTGAAATCTTGGTTTTTCTAGCAGTTCAAGTCACATGGAGAGGCATGTCTTTAGAAAATCATCATCCATTCGTCAACAGTAATAGGCACGTGCAAGCAGGGAAGGACAAAATAGAAGAATGCAAAGTGGGATGGACCTATAGAGTGACAATCCAGGGAAGTGATCCTTAACTCCTTTTGCAACCACAGATATTACAAACCATTACAAGCAGTAAGAGGTGACATCTTAAGATCACCTCGAGTACCAACAAAAATGCTGGTCTAAAATTGTTTAGTGGGCAAGTGCCCTGTTCCTGTAGTCCTCTTTCACCACTTCTACCCCACTTTTCTATTTGCAAATACAAAGTGCTGGAAAATAGAGGGAGAAACCGTGGAGGCCGTGACAGACTTTGTATTTCTAGGTGCAAAGATTGGTGCAGATGCAGACTGTGGCCAGGAAATCAGAAGACGCTTACTTCTTGGGAGGAGAGCAATGTCCAGTCTCGATAAAATAGTAAAGAGTAGAGACATCAGACTGGCAACAAAGATCCCTAGTCAAAGCCATGGTATTCCCTGTAGTAACCTACGGATGTGAGAGCTGGACCTTAGGGAAGGCTGAGCGAAGGAAGATAGATGCTTTTGAGCTGTGGTGTTGGAGGAAAGTTCTGAGAGTGTCTTGGACTGCGAGAAGATCCAACCAGTCCATCCTCCAGGAAATAAAGCCCGACTGCTCACTGGAGGGAAGGATGAGACAAAGTTGAAGTACTTTGGCCACATCATGAGGAGACAGCAAAGCCTAGAGAAGACAATTATGCTGGGGAAAGTGGAAGGCAAAAGGAAGAGGGGCCGACCAAGGGCAAGATGGATGGATGGCATCCTTGAAGTGACTGGACTGACCTTGAGGGAGCTGGGGGTGGTAACGGCCGACAGGGAGCTCTGGCATGGGCTGGTCCATGAGGTCACGAAGAGTCGGAGACGACTGAACGAATGAACAACAACAACCCCACTTTTCAGGCAGAGAGTAGCTGTTTGTGGAGGTTCTCCAGATATTTTGAAATCCTGGTTTTCAAACTTTCTAAAGCAGAATTTCTCAACCTGGGGGTTGGGAACCCGGGGGGGGGGGGGCAAGAGGGTTTCAGAGGGGTTGCCAAAGACCAGAAAAATATATTTCTGATTGTCTTAGGAACCCCTTTGGCAGAGAAAGCTGAAGATCTCTCCACCTGTCCTTGTCTTCCTTTTTGGAAACAGATGGCATGGTGTGCATGTGCGGGCGAGGGAGAGTGTTCGAGGCTGGAGGGAAGCTCACACCAGCAAGTCCCTTCAAGACATGAGGGCTCTGTGTGGGAAGTTTGGCCCAATTCTATCATTGGTAGGATTCAGAATGCTCTTTGATTGTAGGTTAACTATAAATCCCAGCAACTACAACTCCCAAATGACAGAATCAATCCCACCGCCAACCCCCCCAGTATTCAAATTTGGGTATATCATGTATTTGTGCCAAATTTGGTCCCGTGAATGAAAATACATTCTGCATATCAGATATTTACATTACACTTCATAACAATAGCAAAATTCCAGATATGAAGTAGCAACAACAATAATTTTAGTTGGTGTCACCACAGTATGAGGAACTGTATTAAGGGGTCAAGGTATTAGAAAGGTTGAGAACCACTGTTCTATTTATTATTATTATTTTTACTTCATTTATATACCACTTTTCTCAGCCTTTGGGCGACTCAAAGCAAAATTTAATGCTCAACATCATAAAAAGAGTTAAAAAACAGTTAAAAACAAAGATACAATAAACAATCAGCATCTCATTAGCGTCTCATAGGTAGAATCAAGATCCAATCTCATAATCCATTGTTCCATGTTCCTGTATTCAATTCACTAGTATTGTCATTCTAGTCCATGTCCTTTAAACTTTTCAAACATCTACTGTCCGAAGGCCTGGTCCCAAAGCCATGATTTTAATTTCTTTCTGAAAGCCAGGAGGGAGGGAGCAGATCTTACCTCATTTGGGAGTGTGTTCCATAGGCGAGGGGCCACTGCCGAGAAGGCCCTGTCTCTCGTCCCTGCCAGACGCATTTGCGCAATTGACAGGAGTGAGAGCAGGGCCTCCCCGGATGATCTTAGATTACGAGATGGGAGGTAGGGGTGGATGCGTTCGGACAAGTAAGCTGGGCCAGAGTGTTCTAAAGAGTGTTATTTTTTTAGACACTCATTGTCTATTTGCAAGCAGGAGGTGAGGCTGATGATGTTTCTGCACTGACTGATCAGAGTTTTTGAAGAGCCAGGAACCAGGGTATCTGGAAGGACACCTTCTCAGTGGGGGTGGACTCCATTCACATCTGTAACAAGCCTGTCTTTTCACTCCCCATGCTCTTTTCTCTAGAGTGTAGGTGAGCTGTTACTGTGGATGTTGAAATGACCCAGTTTAATGAATGAGGCAGTCTTTATTGCTTTTACAGGTCTAATAAATCATCTATAACAAGAGAAAATAAAATTCTACTTTTGAATCACTTTGGAACTTTAATGAATTGTGCATACACCTATATTGAAAATCCTTTATATATATAAAAAGTAAATATACAGCAAACGTGTTTAGAATTAACAATTTAGAACTGCTAAAATTCTTTAATAAAATAAGTACATAGTGTCTTGGAAGCTACAGCAAACAGTGCTATCTTAAGGGCCAGAGTTGAAGAACATTTTGACCTTCTAGGTGTTCTGATTTACAGTTCCCACAACCCTTGTGCAAAAATGAGGGTGTTAAATGGGCCCCTATAAGTGCTGATCCATGCCTTGGTTACTTCCCAATTGGACTACTGCAACACTTTCTATGCAGGGTTGCCTTTGAAGATAGTTCAGAAGCTCCAACTGGTTCAGAGATCGGCAGCCAGATCAGGAAGTGGACAACTCCCATATTACGGCAGCTCCACTGCCAGTCTGCTTCTGAGCTAAATACAAAGTGCTGGTGTTACCTATAAAGCCCTACAATGAATGGTTCAGGCCCAGGCTATCTGAAAAACTGCATCTCCATGTATAAGCCAGTCCAAGCACTGCAGAGGAGGCCCTGCTCTCAGTCCTACCCCCATCTCAAGCACAGCTGGTGGAACGAGAGAGGGGCCTTCTCCATGGACGCTCCCCACCTCTGGAACTCCCTTCCAAAAGAATTAAAAATGGCCCCTTCTCTCCTCCTTTAAAAAGCTTCTGAAGACCTACTTGTGTAAACTAGCTTATGAAGAGGAGGAGGATTAACATATTTGATACATACTCCCACCCTGACAACACATACTTACCTCTGCTTGCTGATATATTATGCTATATGTTATATTATATTACATTGTGCTTCTAAGGTATTGTATATTTATTGGTATGATTTTTCATGCGTTATGTTCACTGAGTTAATTCTTGTTTGATTGTTATAAGTTATATTGAGTTTATTTCTCTCTCTGTTTTGTTTTCATTGTCTGTTTGGTTTTGGCATGAAATGGTTGCCATTTTGTTATTCCTGTAAACTGCCCTGAATCCCTTTGGGGAGAGAGGGGGTATAAAAAATAATAATAATAATAATAATAATAATAATAATTATTATTATTATTATTATTATTATTATTATTATTACCATTACCACCTTCCAATAATTATACTAGTATATTCTACTAGTATAATTATTATTCTACTAGTATAATTCTAATTAAACCGCTAACCTGCTGAACTTGCTGACCAAAAGGTTGGTGGTTCGAATCTGGGAGCTGCACGAGCTCCCACTGTTAGCCCAGCTTCTGCCAACCTAACAATTTGAAAACATGCAAATGTGAGTAGATCAATATGTACCGCTCCGTTGGAAAGGTAACAGTGCTCTATGAGTCATGATGGCCACATGACCTTGGAGGTGTCTACGGACAACGCCGGCTCTTCAGCTTAGAAATTGAGATGCGCAACACTCCCCAGAGATGGACAAAACTAGACTTAATGTCAGGGGAAACCTTTACCTTCTATTCTATAGAATTTCGACTGAATGACACAAGAGGTAGAACTGGAAAAATTCTCCTTGGGCTTTTATAAAAGGGAGAAAATCAGCAATCCAAGATCTTTAGGTGTCTTGGGGATGAAGCAGAGTTTGTAAGTTGAATGGTCAATTTTAAAAAGTGAAAATCTATACAAAGGCAATCTGGAATATATAAAATCATTTAAACCCAGATGAAGTAAAATTCGTAGTCAGCATGTTTTGTCTTAGAAGACTCATTATATTATACTTTATTTAGAAAATAGGTTACTTTGCAGCAATTTGAAAGCATTTTGTTTTGTTGAGCTCTTGAAAAGTATTACTGTGATTGTTACCATTTTTTCTTATCTCTCTGTGTGCTGTTGTAAAAACAAAAACAGAAATTATATCAATGGGTTGTTGTGTGTTTTCTGGGCTGTATGGCCATGTTCCCGAAGCATTCTCTCCTGATGTTCATCTGCATCTATGGCAGGCATCCTCAGAGATTGTGGATAGAGATTGATAGATGCAGGCTTCTGGAACATGGCCACACAGCCCAGAAAACACACAACAACCCAGTGATTCCGGCCATGAAAACCTTCAACAATAGAAAATTATATCAAATTTACCTATTTTGGTTTGCACTTTGAAAACTGGGAGTAGAAAAGGAATAGTATCAACATTCAATTTTAAAAAATTAAACAGGCATTGGCTGACCTATTGTCACCAGGAGGGATTCTGTTGGCCTTGATGTCCATACCCGGATTTGTAAAAGCAACTGAGGAAAAGGGATAGGTGCATGCATAAATACGCACAGAGGCAAGGTCAGTGTGGGGCCAGCCGGACTGACAAAGCGAGGAGTTTCCAGACACTGGGAATACAGTAAACACAATCTGGTCATCTGGGTGTGTGAGGCATGAATGCCATCCCTAATCAAAACAGTTGCTGGAGCATCAAAGCATAAAGGCACAGCATAACCTCTTGCCATCAAAAACCAGCTTGTCTCCAAAGGCACAGCAATATTTTGTCTCTTCTGAAGATCATTCCAATAATTCCCCTGACCTTTTATTCTTCCTTTTGATATACTGCCCCCCTGTGAGATCTTTCTGGTGTGGAAAGGATTGAACAAGTTCCTTTTGGGTGAGAGCTGACAGTGAGGCAAGGGTGCAGTATTGTTTACCATGCTGGAAAGGACTGGACAAGTTCCTTTTGGGTGGGAGCTGACAGTGAGGCAAGGGTGTAGTATTGTTTACCATGCTGGAAATCTAATAATGGCCGTTTGGTGCTCAATCTGGATTGTATCAAGGAGGACCTGTTAGATCCCTAATCTACCCACCCCCTTCTCACTAACTTCTTTCTTACAGGGTGTTTCTGCAAGAAGTTCTATCAGAAGGACCATGTGAGTTGTTGCTAGTGGTGCCCCAAGAGACGGGTGAGGCCAGAGACTGGCTCAGCACTGTCAGGTGATCCCCGGCACACAGGAATCCATCCCAGCTGAGCCTCAAGCATTCTTCTTCAACCCCCCTGTGCTGGCTGCTGCATGTCTTTGTGTATGTGCATAAGGGGGTAGGAATGGGAATGATGCCCTCCTGTTTACAATGCCACTCTGGGAGCTGACCATGAAATATATCCTCCCTTCTCTTACGTGCAAGCAGCTTTCCCCTTGCTTTTGAAAGATGTGCACTGTGTCGGACAGTACGGAATAAAGATTGCAATACTGAATAGTAGAAGATTTTCCCCTGGCATTGGAATAGCCATCTGGGGTGCTCCAACAGTCAGTTTTTTTTCTGGACTGATGGAGTTATTTGTTTACAAGCAGGACTTGGTAATACATCCCCAGACCCCCTATTTAATATCCTACTAGGTTTAGTCTGGGAAGTTGTGTGTCTCACTATTAGGGCTAACAAACCTCTCCTTTGTATTTTTGTGATTCCTCTTTTGCAGCAAGTTCTTTGGATAGAACAAGACAGTTCTCCCAAAACCCACAAAAAGTCTCTGACTTAAAGTTGTCACTCAGTGTTTTGAGTTAGCTATTCCCAAGATTATGGAGAAGGCAGATTTAGGAGTGAGCTGTATGCGCTGAAAACCCAAAGGTGATATTTCAACTCTTGCTTCAGTCAAAGGGACCTTTTCTGGAAGCAGCGAGCTGTTTTACTAAGAGCAGCAGTGGTGTTAGTCAAGTGGAGTGTGCAGAGAGAAAGCAAGAGTGTTTTTTTATTCCCTTGAGGCTCGCTGGAAAGCATGAGATGCTCAAGTGAAATTTGAATTAATGTTTCTGGTGTAGGTGGGAATGAAGGTGGGAAAAGGACAGTGGAGTTGAGTGTGGAAATAGGATAAGCCACTGTGCTAGTATCCTGGATCCAAATGCAGAAAGCAGTGGCAAAGACTATAAAGTGGCAAATGCCCAGGCAGGTCCCAAACTTTCCGCTGCTTGACAGTGGACAAGAGGTTGCTTGAAGCCTTGGTTTGGTTGACTATTCAATGCTGGCAAGTGAACAAAATCTTCTGTTACCCCCATAGGCAGCCCACCACCTTAGAGGAATAAAGAAGTTCATTAAAAAGACTTTGCCTAACCATTTGGGAAGAACACTATGGGGCTGATGTTGCTTCTTTTTAGTTTTTCTCATTCATGTTGGTTGTCTTAATTCTGACTAGCTGACAGAAACTCTCTGGTGGAAGCTTTTAGTCCAAAATTGGGGAGATTGTACCTGTTGAATTTCTGCCTGTTACACAGCCACTTGAAGCACTAGGACCTTGTAAAACAGCAAGAGGCAGTGACCCTTTGTGCAAATTGAAAATGTTGGTTGCTCTCTTGTTTGGTTTTTCTTTTAAATAAAAGCACTCTGTCCATCAAGTAGAAGGGTTTGTGATGCTTCTCGTGAAAGGTCAGAAACTAGCACAGGGAATCCACAGGAGGAAGCTACTGCACTGTCCACCTCCTTCTCGTCTAGTTCTTACGCTGTTCGTTTTCCTTGGCACGGAAAGTCCCCTACTCCTGGCGCCTGCCAACCTTGAAGTTCTTTCCCAACCTGAGCAGAGGAACACTCAATGATGCAAAACAAATAAATGTGTAATGAAGTTTGTGATTCTTCAGTGTGGAATGTAACTGTGGATTTGGGGAGGAAGCAGTTCTTGTGGATGAGTGAGCTGGCCAGAATACCTTTTTCAAAACATTTGAAGTCAAGTAAGCCACAGAAAGATTTAGTCTTGCAGGGGATCCATTTGTACTCAGAAGAGCATTTTGATGCCAAAAACATTCAGCAATAGCTAGGTGTGGAGGAAGTGAAGCAGCTTACATACACATATTTGGGTGTGTGTTACAGAATATGCATGCATTCTTGATGATCCCTGTGTGGAAACTTAGATGTCACATACACAAAAACTAATTGGGACTTAACACGTGTTAATCTAAATATGTACATGTAAATTTGAAAATAGACTGGGACAGTCTATTTGGTCCATCTAACACAGCCATACTGGTGTTGGCTAATTATTTTAATTGTATGTACATGGAGTTAAACCAGAAATGTCCTAAAGGCACTAGATCCTGCCTGCTATTGGAAGCTAATTAGGGACAGCTCTGGTTTAACTTGGATGGAAGACTTATTGAATACTAGGTGCTATAAGTTATATTCAGAAAAAGAACTTGGCAAAGCCATCTCTTGAGGATCCCTCGTCTAAGAAAATGATAACATTCATGGGCTCGCAATAATAATAATAATAATAATAATAATAATAATAATAATAATAATAATAAATATTATTATTAAAAATAACAGTGCCTTTATTTTTATATTACACCACCACCTCCCCGAAGGGACTCGGGGTGGCTTACAAGCGGGACCAAGCCCAAAATAAACATTTAAAAACGCAAGACATACAACAATCTAATTTAACAATTAAAACAGTGAAGTATATACATTGACAGGCAATTTGAATGAACATACCCATACAAACAAATGGCCTATCTTTGCTCAGTCTGTTTTTTGATTGATGGACAGCCCGGAAAATTCACAATAATTTGGTTAATGGACAGTTTTGGAGGCCTATATTTATATTTCAACAGGACCTGGAGTAGACAGCCCCAACAAAGTAGGGAGGCTGGATTAAGCTGGGTGAGACACAAGGAAGAATTCTGAAAACATGACCCTGTGTTTCAACAGAAAGGAAGAAACCATGAACATTAACAAAATATGGCTACCAGTATTTAAAAACTCTAAAATCAGGACAGTAAATAAAGAGGAACACCCAAAAAACAGGAGAATTCCAGACAAGAAACAACCCCCAACAAAGCATTCCTCCAGGCAGGAATCAGCCAGTCTTTGAAGCTGCAAGGCCATCCAATGCTAATCAAGCCTGCCAGTTTCAACATTCACACTTGCCTCAAGCAGACAAGAGTTCATTCTCCCACCCTGTACATTCCACATATATATAAACCTCACTTGACTAGTTTCCAACAGACCTCACAACTTCTGAAGATGCCTGCCATAGATGTGGGTGAAATGTCAGGAGAGAATGCTTCTGGAACATTGCCATACAATCCGGAAAACTCACAGCAACCCAATGGCCCTGTGTGTGTCAGTTGTTTTAGGGTGGTGGCAATAAAATTAATCCAGTAGACAACAGCATTAAAAATCATGGGTGAACCTAATTTCAGGCCTGAAGCTTGGATGAGATTTAGTTTAACCCCCTGCAGCTTTATTGGATTCCTCAAGTGACATACAAATAACTGATCATGGAAACACCGAAAGATTCAGGAAGTGACTGTTGAAGAAGTAAACCACACTTTTTCCCTTAAGTCCACTAAGAAACCTGGTATAATTGCCCCAGTTGAGTAACTGGTCATCCAACCCTGAATAGGGTCAGCAGATCCTTTGTTAGGGTGGCTCCACTACTATCCAGGAAATTAATTCCAGAGAATGGTATTGGAAAATCTGTGCTGCTCTTTGGATGTTAAACTATCAGGAGTGCTGTTGGTTTCTATCCTGTCCCATGTGGTATTTGTTGTGAAGTTGCTGGATGAGATTAATAAGAGTTTTGTAGTTGGGTACCATCACTATGTTCTACATCTTGTCAGACTTGGCCAGAGTGATGCAGTGCCAAGAGTAATGGGCTGGATGATGGTGCCTAATAAAAATAGCCGGTGGATTGGAGGTTCTCACCTTCAGGAATTGGGTAAGCATAAGCAACCAGTCCTATAGCTTTTAAGCAGAGGCTGGATGGCCAACTGTCAGGGGTGCTTTGAATGCAATATTCCTGCTTCTTGGCAGGGGGTTGGACTGGATGGCCCATGAGGTCTCTTCCAACTCTTTGATTCTATGATTCTATATAGGTCTGTGTTCAGCTGTAGATGAATATTCTATAAGTATTCATACCAGATAAACTTTGTGGCTCAGAGTCTGGAGAGCCGGTTTCAACTAATCTGCGTCTTTACAGTTTTCCTGAGGAGATCTGATCTGGCCACAGTAGGGTTCTGCAATGCGTTCTACATTAGGATTCTCCTTGAAGAAGGCTGAAACCGCAGCTACTACAAAAGCAGCAGCAGAACATTATGCAGAAACCAACAAACTGGTTTTGGAAGGAACTGCAAAAGCTGTCAATACATTTGTCTGAATTCATGGTGCCAGTAATGTCATTTGAAGCCAAAAATAGCTTGAGACCTTGATATTTGACAGACCACCTGTTACCCTTCAAATGTCCCCATTTGACAGGAACAGTCCTTTGTTGTCCCACTTTTTCAGCTACTTTGAAAATATCCCAGTTTTTCTCTCTTCCCCCCATACCCTGCCTTTTGTCCTGAGTTTACTTCAGTTACTTCAAGCTGAGTTCAAAGTGAACAATAGTTTGCTCTCAGTTAATTCAGCAAGGAAAATCACATCCTGGGTTGTAGGTTTTTCGGTCTGTATGGCCATATTCTAGAAACATTCTCTCCTGACGTTTCACCTGCATCTATGGTAGGCATTCTCACAACCTCTGAGGATGCTTACCATAGATGCAGGCAAAACGTCAGGAGAGAATGCTTCTGGAACATGGCCATGTAGCCCGAAAAACCTACAACAACCCAGTGATTTTGGCCATGAAAGCCTTCCACGATCAGATCGTGTCATTGCCAGTAGGAGTAAACTTCTGCACCTCTCATACTTATGTGTTTCTCCTTGTAAGTCATCTTCCCCATATGCTGATGTTGCTTGGCCGCACATCTTCACGTTTTCCTTAATGAAACATTGGTGAGAATGAAAATATGAGCCTGAGGGAGAAAGCAAGAAGAACCAAATGAACCGGAACATTTGCCTGTCCTAAATGCCCTTTGACTTTCCTTTCAAGTCTGACAATCTTGTTCCTCTTGCTTGGGAATGTGGGTCAGGTACTTGCAAACATGATTTATGTGGATCAAATAGCCAGTAGCAGGCCCTTTCAAAACAAAACAAAAACCTTCCTTTAACTATCATAAAAGGAGAAATACCATGACTCACAGGGGCGGCTCCAGCAAAGCACTAAAAACAGGTAAGCAGCACTTCATGATCATTTGTTCCAATTCCTGCCCAGCATGGGGTGTTTTAAATATATTTTACACATTCTTGCCTCCAGTACTGTTTCTGCTTCCTAGCTTATATTGCAGCTGCTTTGCTTCTGTGTTATGCTGCAGAATTCTCTCTTTTCTGCATAAGTATATAGCGAGCCCTCAGTATCTGCTAGATATCAAAATCTGTGGATGCTCAAGTCCCATTACGTACAATGGTCTATTAGACATGGCATTCTTATGTAAAATAGTGAACAAGTGCAGGAGAGAACCTTGATGATCTGTGAAATGACAAGAGGTTACAGCAAGATATGCTTAATAAAAATGTTGAGAAAAAATTACATTTCCCCCTCTTTTATTTTCTTTCACCTCTGTGCCATTTCTTCTTTGAAAGTCCCACCAAATGTTCAATTCTTCATTTGGAGGTAAATTCCCATCTTCTTTTTCCAATACTTTTTGCCATATCCCTTCTTTACTTTTAAGTTTGATGTTAGCTTACCATTCAGTGCCATTTTCCAGACTTCTTTATACCATTCATTAATTTTCATTTCTCCTTTCCAATATTTTGCAATTAATAATCTAGCTGCTGTCAATAGCACGTCTATTATTTTTCCCCTCTTATCTCTCCCCTCCTCTCTTTTAATTAAAAGTAATATTTCTATTGGATTCCTTCTCATTTTATATTCATAATATTTTCTATTTCTCTTACAACCAATTCCCAAAAAATCTTTTACATATTTACAATCCCACCACATGCATGTAGATTCCAATTTCCTAGCACCCTCTCCAACATTTTTCATTATTGTTCTTATTCATAATGTTTAACCTTCTCGGTGTTAAATACCACTTCCAAATTAATTTATAATTTTCTTTTATTCTAATTGACATGTTTTAATTGTCTTGCTTTAAATATCTCTTCTCAGTCTTTTCCAGTTATTTTTGTTCCTACTTCCTCCTCCCATAATTCTCTTAATTTTAGTCTTTTCTTTTTTCCTGTGTCTTTAATTAGTATTTTATATATTTTACTTGTTGTTCCTTTTAATTGTTCTTTATTTTCTCTTTTTAATCATTTTATTATTATTTCCTCAAATTGCGTTATTTGTTTTTTTTATTTTGGACCCAACAATTTTTATTCCATTTTTCTAATGGAATCCAATGGAGCCATGAAATATTTAATCCTCTCAGTTCTTCTCTCATTTTTACCTTTTTTGTTCTATCCAATTTCCTACCCTTTTTAGTTGCCTTTTTTTCTAATTCTTTATCTAAAATTCCTTTTAGTTCCTTTGGGAAATCTTTTGCCATTATTATTGGTGTCAATACTGAATTCTTATTAA